ACCTGTTAAAATGGCTCCTTGAAAAGTAAACCAGTAGTGTTGATTTATGCTAAAATAAAGGACTATTGGTTGCTTCTTATCAAAAGTCTAATTGCTTGTATCTTTCTAACTCCTATTTTTAAAACAAATTATCCTTGTTTTTGAAAAATTTGTTTTTTATTGAGCTATTTTTTGAAATGTAAATGTAATAAATAAAAACTTTGAATAGCCAAAATTTTCACCAGTTTAAAAAAATTATATGAGTTATTGAAATGCTTTTTCTCATTGAATTAAAGTGTTTATAAGTCATATAGGCTTTTGCTTTTTATGTAATTTATTTTTTATAAGAAATTTTAAACAAATTCTTGCCTAACCGTATGTTATGATGATCACAGCGCATGTAAAGGACCCCAAGCACGTTCCGGTTTATCTTCAGGTTTGCATGCGCAGGCCTGGTTTGTGCGGTTATGCCGAAGCGTGTTCGTGTGTCATTCAGGTGTCCTGTGCTGCAATCATCCTAGCCTAATTTTCTAATTTTTTCTGAAATGAGGCCTAGACAGAACTGAACAGCATGTGCAGGAAAGTCAGAACGTCTGTTCAATCTATTTTTGTCAATCAATTCCTGCGGCTTGCTAAATCTGTTTTTTCTATATAAGAGTCAACTTGTACGCTTTTTGACTCAAGACAATATAAATAATATAATAAAAGTCACTGAACTTGTTTTCTAAATATGTGCACGATAGCACTATATACATTTTTTTACTTTCTAGGTATGATTCGAACTCAAGGCTAAATAAAAAGCTGAACAAAAGTCTGTGACGTGTGTTGGTAAAAATACGTTCGGGCAAACTCGCGCGTATTTGCCTGTACAAACATGCCTGGGCCGGATTGTATGCGGGGTCCTTAAATCCATATATGTCATGCATTGCATGTAATAGGTTGGAATTCGTGTGCATCCGAACCCAGTCACTACAACAGCAGCACCGTGCGCCTCAACCATTACAACGGCTCACCAACTTTCACATAAATATACGAATTTATTTAAAGAATTTTTTGCACACACATTAGTCAAATAATACTCTTAATAAAATTGTGACCATGGAATTTTAAACTGGAATTCACCTACCACATATCTCTTATTGTACACCTCTGGAAGCAAGACAGGCAATGACGTCACGCATCCATTATAATTGTTAAATCGTAAAAATACAGTTTAATGACGCAATTGCTTCCAGGTCGGCGTCCAGATCAAACGCTTCATTCCACTTGCTATATGTAATTTAATGATCGTAACTTAACTTTCATTGTTATTTGTTTAAATTTAATAATTTATTTATACTTATTCAATTTTATTATTCATTGTAACTTATTTAAAAACTTCTTCTAAATATTTTGACAGTTTCTGATGAAATGTTACAAGCGTAAGTCACCACTTCACAGTTTGTTATTTGTTACATTCAGTTCCTTTTTATTTGTCCAGGTTAAATTTTATTTTCCCCAACACCTTGCAATATGCTCTGGATTTGGTTGATAGAAATAATGTAGCATTATTCAAAAGCAAATCAGGGAGGTCTATTTATCAGGTTCCCACAATTTTGTTTGCATCATTTTTGTAACTTTTATTTACGTTAACGATGTCGCTGAAGGTAATTGGATCATCAAATTCATCGTACTTGTGTATGGTTGATGGTGTGTTTTGTGAGTGCCCTGCTTTCAAATATTTAGGTATATTTTTATTTCATTAATATTTTTTATTAAATTTCATTCTTTCTGTCTTCTTACTCACTGCATAACCATATTTTTAACTGAGCTTGCTCCGTTTTTCAATGTTTTTTTTTGTTGCAATATTTGTTCTATCATTTTTTGTTTTAAAAGACTCATACTCTCCACTTGGATACATACCCTTATTTATCCCAAGTTTTTCAACAATGTTATAAGCAGAATAATAGCTTCAGAAGTTAACGATCCCACATTAATATAATATCAACAGAAACTTTTAGTGCAGTTAATTACAATGTACATTAAATATATGATCACCTTTCGAAAGCTGCTGCGTGTACACTTGTGCATATACAAATCTGTCAACTAAGCTTTGACGTTTTTCATTTTTCATCTTCAATGAATGTTGTCACTGAAAATCTTAACCAGTCCTGATGGCTTTTTTTGTTGTTATCAATCCAGTGATTGCCGTCGTTGTAAGTGTAGTTTTTTCAAACTTAAAAATAGTTCTTCTTGTCAAGGTTGATTATGGCGCACTCCAAAGCTCCATTTTGTACTTTGTTTTAATTCCCAATTTATTTGGCTCATCAGTCCTGTTTATTTTTTGTGACGCGTGTGTTACCTCCAGATATTTCGTGCATGTTTCTTACTTCGAGAAATGGCCATCTCATTAACTGAACATTCAAATATTTGCTTACCATACTAATTTAGTACTACGTTAACTCCAATTCAACTTTTCTTTCTCAGCCATTGTGAACCTGGAACTGTCGTAGTCTCTGCTAAACATCAATTTGAAGTATTTTCTTCGTTGCAAAAGTCAGTTTTGCTAGCCTAATTCTTTTTGTCAATAATTCAATTAAATTTCCTGCGGTTCTTCTCGACACACGTCTGAATTTCATGTTATTCACATCTCATAATTGTTAATTTAACGTGTCGCCCCAATCAATTTGCTATTTCTTATTATTATTATTACTATATTGTTGTTTTTTACTATTGTTATTATTTCATTTGAATGTCTCTGGGCATCATTTTGTTAAACCGTTAAAATTCTTTATTATTTTATGCAGTGATTAGATCTGATGAAAATACGCTGGTATGTTTTTTTTATTGATAGCACAAATAACTTATTTAATTTATTTAACCCTTATTTTCAGTGTAAACACCTGTTAGCGATCAAATTATCTCAAGCCATTAACGCTTACAAAACCACTGAAATTAGTGAAGAAAAGATAACAGACATGCTCAAATCAATTGACTGACTCCTATACGACAGCAAGTTGCAACTAATACCTAAAATTGTAATGGATTAAAATAACATTTATGCATTGGATCTTTTTCATTTGAACTATTTCAATTCGCAAACGTTTATTCTTTGTTTTATCAAATACATTTGCTTTAAATATCAGTTTGTGTCAGAAATAATCATTTATGACGGTACTAGAGAAAGGGTGAATAAGAAAAAAGTGTTGAAGCACTCGAGGTGAGGTCGATGGCCGCTTCAAAAATTTGGATCTATCTGGAGGTGGCAGGCGGAAAAATCGCTCATTGGGATAAAATTGATAAAATTGGTTAAAAAAGTGATAAAATTGGAAATCCATGGAAGACAAAAAAAGTGGTTTCTGTAAAAATGAAACGAATATGTAAAATTGACGAACGTTCGTAACGCAAGTTCAACTAAACTTAGCAGCATAGTGCATAGCTCCTTTATCAAATAAATAAACACATTAAAGGGATTTCAACAGCCCTATCAAAAAAACTAAACGGTCTAAACATAACATAATCGACGACAGCGGTGGATCTAAGGGGGGGGGGGGAGCTGGGAAAACCGGTGCCAACCCCGTTGTCAGCAGTGTTTGTATTAAAAGTTAAAAATGAATGTTATGATAGAAAAATTGGCGTTTTTTGAGCAAAAATATTGACGTGATAAGTCCAAAAACGAAAAGAAATCGTCAGCGTGATCTTGGCCGCCCTTCGTGAAAACGTTCGAATTTTCCTCCGGTTAACCTCTGCAAGACACCTTTGCATCAAGCGCGTCAAACTAAATTTGGTTGAGACGAAATTTTTTTAGTGGACTGTATTTAATAATTTATTTTTACTATTGTTACATGCGATATTAAAAAGTTGTACCTTCGAAGATACAAACACATCTTATGAATGAAGAATTTTGAGAAAATGTTGAGAATAAATTATTCGAAAAAGACCAGTGTTGTTACCTATGTAATTGAATCATTTTTGTATGAAATTAAAGGATCGATTGCTAACTAACATGAATAACAGGAGAGCTTATAAGAGAGAAATAATATTTTTCAAAATAGATAGTTGATTAGAAATTCAGTTATTGTCTGTGGCGAGTACGAAAACAATTTCTATTTTGAATTGAAGAACGAAGCAATATCAGGTCACTATTGTTCATGCCTATTTTATAATGTTCACAGTTTCACACTGCCGATTGTTTATCGTTTACATTCATACGCATCGACAGCGTCATATATTTCTACATGAGTTGTTGCATGCATTCAGTACTTTCGATGCCGTAATGTAAAAAATATGTTAGCAAAAATTTTCATGAACTGTGTATTCACTGTTAACAATAGTGATAACAGATTTTTTAGAGGCAGAAAAATGTCAACTAGTTAAGTTATCAACATTTAAAATAGTCAATGAATTTACTTTATATTGTTATGCTATATAATATAAATAAACGTATACGCGTAAACTTAACTAAAAAACCATCCCTTGAGTTTATGTCCATAAATCGAATATATATACATATATTTATATATATATATATATATAAATAATAATATAATAATAATATAAATAATAAGAATATATATAAATATAATACACCGATCCCTTTAACGTCTTGTTAATTAATCGCATCTGATTGCGCTGCATTCAACTGCTTCCCTGTGTTACGAGATCTCATGTGAGTGAGCGTCTGAAAAATATTTCAACAACCTGCTCTCGAGAATTAGACCAACATTATAATAATAAATTAATTCAATGTTCTTCATAATTTTGCTGCATTTCATCGAAAGTAATTTGTTATTTTATATTTTTATTTTAATGATTACATAAATATAACTAAGCTTAAGCTAACTAATAATTCAGTTGGTTGTGCTATAAAAGTTAATGTAGCCTTGGGAAAAAACACTTCCTCTTCTAGCACTTATTACGGACTGTCGTGTTGGTTCTATTCGTCAAAAGCTGTGGACGGTCACTATGGGAATGATATTTCATCCTGCAACTGTTTCCACTCTGCAGACCTCGCTGGACAACCAAACTGGATATGTGTCGACATGGCCAGCGCGTACACTGTGGATTATGCAAGACTGTTGAGTCGAAATGCCGAATGTAAATTAAATTTTATTTTTGATAATGTAAATTAAATTTTATTTTCGAAATGCCGAATGTAAATTAAATTTTATTTTTGATAATCTTAACATAGATTTGGGTATTTAAATGTTTTTAATTTATTATGCTTTAAATTATTATTATTATTATTACTATTATATATTATATATATATATATATAATAATCCAATTATTTTAAAATAATTTTTTCGTATCACCAGCTCAAAGAATGGATTACTTCATAGTTGGGGTGGCAAATGACAATCCATCTTTCAAGCCACCAGTCAGAGGCGCATATTTGTTTTGCGGACAGTACCCGGATAGGGTCCAAGTCTCCATGTGGCACATTCTGAAATGCAATTCCTTCTTACCCAAACAACAATACTTGATCGTTCAACAACCTGTCAGTGGGCCTGGATATTTGACCGTTTGTGTTTATCCTGCTGATGTTGTTTCAGGTGGGAATTTTTTTTTAAATATTCACATAATATTTTACAGACATTCATCGATAATATGAATAAGTTTGAAAAAATTAAAAATAAAAATTTGCGAAGACCATTGTGTAGTGTGGATGGGATCCATTTGTGCGACCACTGTTTGATTGATACCGAATCCAAAATAAGTTATTAACAGTTTTTCGTTTGTCCAAAGAAGAAAAACAGATCAACTTTGACAAGAATCGAATTCTAGAAAAATAAAAAAAAATTTTAACCAAACCAACGACCAGCGCGCACTTAGGGGTCTCCTGGCCGAGTGGTTAGCGTGTCCGTCTACCACTCCCACGACCCAGGTTCGAATTCTGCAGTTTTTACAGGTTCATCCGGGTAGCCGACCCAGCCGTCCATCCTTTTGAGGCTGGTAAATGGGTAGACAACGTAAGTTGTCGCATGTTGGCCGGCGAGATGGCTTAAGTGGTCCAAATGCGTACTGAGTCAAACATCTCAAAAGCTATCCTATACTCAGCGTATATGATGCGGTGCTTGCGCGTGCACATAAATACATGTGTACGTCGTGTGAAAGGATAAACAGCCTTTGTGGCGAAGATGGCTGCTTCAAATCAATAGTTGAGGATTTGAAGAACACAATAAAAGATATATAGATAATATATATCTGTAACATTGTAAGTGGCTCTGCGTATGTCAGAGCTGGAATAATAAGGACTAAAACAAAAAACTTAATACGCCCACGGTTCTTAAATGTTCAGCTTATAAAGAGGATGAGTTAATTTTTAATTGATAAATTTATCCATGATTACTTGGTGTGAAAATGAAATGCACAAGTTATGGCTAATCAAATTAGGATGGAAGTTGTCAAAACGATTATTACCAGATTCATGTATATTGCAAACACGAAATACAATGAAACGCATCAAATTTTTACGATGCATTTAAAAAAAACGCGCTTAAAAAACAATTTTTCAACAATAACGTTAATATCTTAAAAGCACTACATATTTACCAGCTGAAAGGTGCGCACAAATTATAAAACTTCCACTGCCATCAAGCGTCAGATGTTTTTTTTTTGCAAAAGCAGTAGTAACAAGAATCAACAAATATATGGCGCACTACCCCAGTTTGAATGTTAAAAATAATAACTTTACTAGATTTTTATTTTAAACACACAATTGAGGCTCAGATGTGTCGCAGACAATTTGGACGAAGCAGTACATGGATGAGCCGACGAAGACATACAACGTCATGTTGCTCGGCAACGTGTTGCACGAGACGAGGAGACGCAGCTTATTGAACTGTGTGGTTCTGTGCAGTGTTGAAGCGTCGAGGCAATGTGACTCGTTGAACTACTGCAAGTCGTCGGGCCTCTGCCAGTTGAACTCTCACAAGTATGGCTACCAAAGAACCTCCATTCAAATTGTCAACGATGATACATGTCGCTGGGTGTTACCAAGTTACCCGTAAACAAAATTTAATTGAGGAAAATGAATGCATGTTATTGTGAATATTATTGGAGCCTTATTTAAATGTCTCTTCATGAGCTATTAACTTCATGCTATAAATATTTAATGCATTCATCATATTTCGCTACTGAATAGATATTAACACTAATTGTTGATCAAATTTAAATTATCCCACATACATCGTACATTCCATAATATTTACTGTGTATCATTTCACTATCAATTTTCTTATTATATGAACTAAATAAAAATTTATTTATCTAACTTTGTATTCATAGCAAGTTTATGTTGCATTAACACCAATGTCAATGGGTGCATTATGAGTACAATAATTCATAAAAATATTTTTGTTGCTAAGTAATTCTCTATTTCATTGTTTTTCATTTGAATTTGGAACAAAAGTAAGTGTATTCAAATAAATTTATGCAGAAACAATTTGTAATAATAAAAATTGTAAAAATGTAATAAAAATAAATTTTGGTTGCGCCTTCACAGTGAAGACATACAGCAGCGAAGTCACTCAAAACCTATATATATATATATATTAAACACTGATGATGACAAATGATTGTCGAAAACAGCTTTCTATGTTGGAATGTACATATGTATTTAAA